TAGATGCCATATTGGATTCTTTGGTCGATATCTCTGCATTTAGGTCAGTTTTGGTATCAATTTGAATGCTTTCTTCTTGCAGGCACCGATATCTCTAATTTGCTTTTGTGGCTTTTTATACTGGTACTTTTGGTTGTATGTTCAATGTTTCTGACTTAGATTAATGGAGATTTCGTCGTTGGTATTTGGTTACTCTTTCAAAAATTCAAAAATTTTTATCGATAATAGTCTCATAAGTTTGATTTTTTCTCACCGAGATTTAAAATGATCTGATCGGCCACTTATTGTCTCGTAACTTTGATATGTAATGCCTTAAAAATGATTCTGTCTTCATTAATAATATCTTGCTTGCACTTACCATTGTTTGATTTGCTTGGCATTTTAGAATATCTTGTGGTGTCAATTCAGTGTCAGTTTAGCAATGGGGTCAACAAAAAGAAATAGTTGGGAGGAGGAATACTTTGTCATGAAAGAGAAAGGGGAGATTGGATTTATTGATTTTGATGAGGATCAGTCCATAACGAGTTATAACCTAAGGGATGAGGGACCAGTGAGTATATCCATTCCATTTCCTCTTGTTCAAGGGAAGCCCCAGTCAGTTGTGGTTGGAGAAACTGCAAAGTGCTCAATCACATTGCAGAACACTACTAGTGACTCAGTTGAACTTTGGGAGATCAAAATATATGCCTCAAATCCTGAAAATACATTCACTTTGTCTCTTATTGAACCACCGGCTCCCAACTGCTTGGAGTTATATTCTCTTGAGGATAGAGTTCTTGAGCCCCATGATACTTTAACAATTTGGTTATCTTGCAAACCAAAGGAGATTGGTTTGCATACGTCCGTGGTGCATTTTGAGATGAATGATGATAGATTTGAACGCATGGTATTTCTGTTAGCTGAGGATGCAGTCTCCCAATCACTGGTGTCAAGCAGACCATATTTAAGAGATCCAAGACGCAAACAGTTTGCTGTTGATAAATATGTGAGCAGCCCTCGTCCAGCTACAGCTACACATCAAGGATTGAAGCACAAGCTTCCTGAATATCCAATTCCAGCAGATATCAGGGAGTTGATAGAGAACAAGGAAACTCCTGAGGTTGTCACACAAGAGTTAGGCAAGGAGAACTATGTTTCTTTCTTCAGTACCCTGCTTATAATGGAGGAGCTGGAATTAGAGGTAATTATCAATGCTTGATTAGTTAAAAGTAGTGCTGCAACATAATTCTCATTTATATGCAATGTGCATGCATGCATGTTGGTCATGGTTTGGTGTGCTTGGTTTCAGAGAGAAATGAGGAACTACACCATGAATTCTGTCACCATGAAGAAAAAAGGAACTTGGCTCCTGGCTCTTGAGATCCCTGGGCTCGCAGAAAAGAGGCCGTCACTTTTACCTGGTGATCATGTTTTTGTGAAGCATGCCTCCAAATATTTCGATACCAACTATGTATACCAGGTATGCTGTTTCTTAATCTTTTAAGTTTTATGACAAAGAATCCGTGATTTGCAGTGACTATCTTTTTGAGGATACTAACAGAATGATAATCTTCTAGAAGATAATGTAAATAATTACTAGATGCTACTGCAAATGGAACAGATTTAGGTGCATAGCAGATGGCTTAAGCAATAGGATAGGAACTATGATGAGTCAAACTGAAGCATGCCTTCATCTCTTACACAACATAGAGAGTATAATTCGAGTTCCTTAGTGCTCGAACAGTTTCAATAGGTTTTAGTATCAAAGCTTCTATGCACCTTGTAAGACGTTCTTTATGGTTTCTGTGAGAACTTTTTGACCCTTTTTACTTGCATTTGCTTTTAAACTTAACTTTTTGTTGCTGCAGAGTTTTGACAAACATATGTGTTTTTTCAGGGTTTCATTTATCATGTTGAAGCTGATGAAGTAGTCTTGAGATTTGCCGATGAATTTCACGGACACCATAGAAATGGGAATTTATTTGATGTCTCCTTCACTTATAATAGGGTGAACATGAGGAGACAATATCAAGCTCTCCAAGCAGCAGCTACTTTAGATGTTGATATTCTTTTTTCATCTCAATTAACAGAAAGGAGATTTGTTAAGACAGTACCATTTACTTCATTCACTGGTTTCCTAAATGAGGAGCAGAAGCAAGCAATTAAGATGATCACTGGATGCAAAGGTGCTCCTCCTTATGTGATTTATGGACCCCCTGGTACAGGAAAAACAAGGACTTTGGTGGAAGCAATCTTACAGATATATGAAACAAGAAAGAATAGTTACACTCTTGTCTGTGCTCCATCAAACAGTGCAGCAGATCACATATTAGAGAAGCTTATTAGCACCGAGGCAGTTCAGGTTAGAGACACTGAAATCTTTAGGTTAAATGCCACCAGCCGTGCTTATGATGATGTTCAACCTGCGCACATTCGGTTTTGCGTCTTTGAGGATTCCATTTTCAGATGTCCTCCACTCATGGCATTAAAACATTACAGGATTATCATTTCTACTTATATGAGTTCATCTTTACTTTATGCACAAGGCCTAAAGCGTGGTCATTTCTCCCACATTTTCTTAGATGAGGCTGGCCAAGCTTCGGAGCCAGAAAGCATGGTACCAATATCCAATTTTTGTGGAAGGCAAACAGTTGTTATTATTGCAGGAGATCCAAAGCAGCTAGGTCCTGTATCAAACTCAAAAACTGCAGAGACCTTTGGACTGGGAAAATCCTATCTTGAAAGGCTGTTTGAAAGCGATCTTTATGGAAATGGAGATGAATTTTTTGTCACAAACTTGGTGAGGAACTATCGTTGCCATCCTGCAATCCTGGACCTTCCGTCAAAGCTTTTCTATAAAGGGGAGTTGCTTGCATGTAAAGAAAATGCTTCTGCATCTGCAACATATTCCTTGGATTTCATGCCAAACAAAGAATTTCCTGTTCTGTTCTTTGGTATTCAAGGTTTAGATGAGAGGGAGGGAAATAATCCATCATGGTTTAATCGAATAGAGGCAAGCAAAGTTGTCAATATCGTAAAAGAACTCATGGCAAGTGCGGATTTAAGGGAGGCAGATATTGGGGTTATAGCACCTTATCGTCAACAGGTGCTCAAAATCAAGAGGGTACTTGAGTCATGGGAAATGCATGATATTAAGGTAGGCAGTGTTGAGCAGTTTCAAGGACAGGAAAGAGAGGTCATTGTCATATCTACTGTCAGGTCAACTGTGAAGCATGATGAATATGACAAAACCTTCTATTTGGGTTTTCTTAGCAACCCAAAGAGATTTAATGTTGCAATTACCCGTGCCAAGTCCTTGCTTATAATTGTCGGAAATCCACACATTGTTTGTAAGGTAGTTACTTATTAACTGTTATATTTCCTTCTTGTTTACCAGTGCTGGTTGAATTTCTTATTTACTTGATCATTTATGCAAGGTGGTTACTTATTCCTTCTTGTTTACAAGTGCTGGTTGAATTTCTTATTTACTTGATCTTTTATGCAATTTCGCCTAACACTTGGCAACATAGCTTATGTGCTTCCTGTGATTATTAATTGGTGATTTGCTGCTTCTCTTTTATTTTATTTTATTTATTATTTGCATCTTCCATCCAGGCAGTGCTTCTGTTTTTCTCACCATTCTTATACACTTAATCACTGGTACATTCCCCGTAGGCTATATAATGACCTCTAGGATTAGCCAAAAGCAGACAAAGCCATTTACATACGATCACAGACATAGCTTCTCATAAGCCAAGAACTTGGAAAACTTAGTTTCTTAAGCTCATAAATATGGGCATGCTAGTCATTATTTTGGAATTAAGTTTGTGGTGATTCTTCATCAGCACACTCTTTTTTGAAGGGAAAACCTTTTGGTAGAGCCGCGTTTTCAGAAAAATAATATATAGCAGATTGAAATACAATTACAGCATAAGAACCTTCTTAGCCATATTCAGGCTAACAAAACAAGTTTATGCAGTTTGGCATTTAGCTAGAAGATGGATTCAGTGGTAAAGCAACACTAATGCTCTTCTTTGTGCGGAACAGGATTTTCACTGGAACAAGCTTCTATGGTATTGTGCTGATAACAACTCGTACCAAGGCTGCCCTCTTCCTGAAAGGAAAGAGTTGGTTGATGAGTCAATTCCGATACATTCTTCGGATCCGGATCAGCAATTTCCTTCAGAAACGACTCTGCAGCCAGCGGTGGATGAATCTGAGTTTTCCGATGGTTGGAAATAAATTTGTTAGAACTTTTTTTTTTTTTCTCTCGAATTCCTTGTCTTACTCTCCTTTCTGTCAGGATAGTAAGTACATCTTCTGGAATAGTTGCTCTCTTTTTGGTATATGTACTCTATATCTCCATAGCATGAGATGAATGGTTCTGATTTGGGTTTATTGAGAAGTAAAACTGATGATGTTGTAATGGAGGAGATCACTTCATCTGATGTCTATTACTCCATTTATTGTTGTAAAAGATTGTTTGCTGAAGGTGGAATCAGAACTCACCACCATTAGGAGATGTTGGAAAAATCTGTTTGGTTGAGCTTCCCTTGATTAGGCATCTATCAATTGCTTGTTCAATTATCTTGTTTTAGTTTCCCATCACCATTGGTCTTTTAGGTATATAAATTATAATGCATTATTTATCTGTTTTTTTATTTCTACACGTAGTTAACAAAAGGTATAAACTAATATACATCAAAATCAAAGTCAACAAACAGACAAACTTAATAAATAAATTATATCAGAAAAGGAAGAGCATTAAAGTCGATTCTCCTCTCCTCTACCCTTTGAACCCATAAGAACCCTACGATTGTTCCTTATTACTGCGAATCACTATCACCAACTTTGTTGCTGTGGAGATCTCATTACAGTATACATGCATAGACAAGCACGTATGCACGTAAATATATTACATGGAGATTGATCTATCAACAATCACTCTTCGTCCATTCAGGTCAACGGACGTCGACGACTTCATGTCCTGGGCAGGAGATGATCAAGTAACAAGATCCATCAGATGGGAGACTTTTACATCGAGGGAAGAGGCCTTGACCTTCATCAAGGAGGTATGTATAACCCACCCCTGGCGCAGATCCATATGCATCGGCGACCGTTCGATTGGGTTCGTGTCAATCTTCCCGGGATCGGGTGACGATAGGTGTAGGGCTGATATAGGCTATGCTGTGGCTGCAAAGTACTGGGGCCATGGGATTGGCACCAAGGCAGTGGAAATTGCAGTGTCCCAGATTTTTAAGGACTGGCCTCATTTGGTGAGGCTGCAGGCTTATGTCGATGTAGAGAACCAGAGCTCTCGGAGGGTGCTAGAGAGGAATAAATTTCAAAAGGAGGGGTTGTTAAGAAAATATGGGTTTCTCAAGGGGAAAATAAGAGATTTGCTTGTTTATAGCTTCTTGTCTGCAGATTTTCCTGGACAAGAATGATGATTATAATATGTTACGGGTGAAAGAAGTATGAATTAGCGTGGCTTGCTATGTGCGAGTCATCCTCATATATGGTTGGCTTTATTGTAATCTGGAGGAGTTTAATTAGTTTTTATAATAAAAAAGAGAAAGGATTGGAGTAATTTTTTTTTTTGAAGAGCTTGGAAAAAATCTTTTAGTTTAGTTTCAAATTTTTTGAATCAAATCCTTCGAATAAAATCTTAATTCGATATGATCGAATATAATAAAATTTGGAGAAAAATTCTCGAAATTTTGCGAAGCAATGGGGAAAAAAAAAAATTAAAGAACAGAGCAGTATGAAGACTGAAATGAGAAAAACCTGTACTTGTTCATTTTGTAAAAAGGCAATTCTGTTTTGGGTTTCACGGAGCACGTATGTATAGACATTGTTTTGAGGTTTGGAGAAAAACCTATTGACACCCATCCAAACTATACAAAAAAAGCACTGCTGCTAATTTTTTTTTTTGTCTTCTGTTCCTAACGAGACAAATACTTTCAGATTGCACTTACCGCAGATCCACATACCAAATTCCTTGCCTTCCATCCAGCCCTTTTGGAGCTTCTATATTTAGTTACCAAAAATGCCAAAACAAAACATCCCTCTTATTCACAATTGCTAAACTGAAAACAGATTTCAAGGTGTCAAATTCACTGATATCTCCTGCGGCAGAGGTGAGCTTGGCTGGTCCATGGTCGAAGGGATTACGAGTCTCTGTAAAGGCTTCAGGGCTACTGTGAGTTGTGCAAATGATGGGCGTAAGTTGGGATCCCTAGGAAGCAATGACAGAAACGACAGTCAATTAAACAGGAATACATGGTGTACGATAATATTATTCTTATTCTCCTTTGATTTTTCTTTACTAGTTTCGTGTTCTGACTTACGTTTGCCAGCATTCCCACATTATCCTTGCAACCAGGGGATCAACTTCCTTAGGGATTTCAAGGCGGCGATTCTGAAAACCAACTGCACCCACTACTTGCATGGGATTCATGCCACTCCAAGGCAATCTCAAAGTTGCGAGCTCCCAAAGGATTACACCGAAACTATAAACATCACATCTGTACAGTCAAAAAAGTTACACATCATTTATACAGTTTGGAGCCGTACCATCTGACCCTCTTGTGTGTGTGTCTGTGCGTGTGTTCATAAGAATACAAATTATTCTGGAGATCCACAACAAGAAGAAATTGATAGTGGTGTACAAGAAAAAAAGATAAAAAACTTGCAACTTAAAAACTTTTCTTGAGAGAAAAAAGAGTAACCCCCCCACCAAAAAAGGAACACAAATGTCAAGAAAGCCTCCGAGTTCCTGAGCAGACGCACCAGAAGCAAAAAAATATATATATATATATGTATATATACATACACACATATTATCGGAGATGTGATCATTGTCATTGTTAAAAAAAATATATATCTGGTTATTAGAAGTAAAAAATACTCAAATTTAGAAAACACAGTCAAAATGCAAAATAAAACACAGTCAAAATGCAAAACTAAGTTAAT